GGATTTCCTATGAAATACATTACTATTGTTACTATTAAGAATTCTGCAGCATCTGATTGTATCTGAATATTTCCTTGGTCATCTTCAATTTCTTGGGTATGTTCTAATATTGATAATTTATCTTGTAATGTTAGAGCATTATCCCACCAATTTTTTAATTGTCCAGTGAATCTTGAAACTAATAATGTTGCAATATTTCTCTCTTGAATATTTTTAATTTTATAAGCAAGTCTAGCCATTCCCATTTCTTGCAAATTATTTAATACTTCATATTCAGCTTTACCATCTATATTCCATTCATAAATTGAATCTCCATCATATTTAGTGGTACGAAATTTTGATCTTTCTTCATATTGAATATCTGGAGGGCTAGGTCTTGGATAATAATTTTTTGTACTTACCATTTTCCAATTTTTATTGGTATTATCATTTATCCTTCTTCTTCTTCTTCTATTTAATTGATTTTCTCCTTTTTCTTCAAATTGAGTTTCTATAGGTAATATTATATTTTCTTCTAGATCTGAATTTGTTGATTCTTCAATTGAATTTTCGAATTGCTCAGTTGAATTATCTCTTATAATTTGATCTAAAGCATTTATTTTGGGTGTTGAAGGTTTTACTTCTGTTAAGTTTTGTAATGCTTGAGATATTTTATTTAATATATTATCTGTAGTATTTATTTTTTGATTATTAATATTTTGTACTAAATCTTGTTCCTTTTCTTTGGTCAAACTTCTAGGTTGAAAATGCGGTGCTGAAATATCATTTGGGAACTTTAAATCTGGTTTCTTTAATGTATCTATTTTTGTATTTAATATTTCCATATGTTGAGAAATTGTATGAAGAATTTGATTTGTATAATTATTTTGTTGGTATACTTTTTTAATATCTTCTAAATTTATTGTATTAGATGAACTTGATTCAGCTTCCCTTCCCTTTTTAAAAGGTGAGGCTATTATTTCTCCTTTTCCTATATTTATTTTTACTTCTTGTAATGGAGGGTGTATGGATGTTATAATTTGATCGTCTTTTAACTTCCATTTTTTATATAAATTAGTTTGAACATTTATTTGAGATGTATTATATATGTCATTTATTCCCAATTTTGACGTATAAAATGCTAACCATGTAAAGAAAGGAAAATCAAATTTCTGTTTATCTAATTCATTTTTCCATTCTATAATTAATTTTTTCTTGTATTCAGATTCTAATTGAAAAAACCAAATTCTTTTTTCCCTATTTTCTTCATCTTCAAAATCTTCTTGTAAACATTTATGATTTATTATATAAGGTTTTCTTATAACATTTATTTCTCCTCTCATTTGTGAATGTGTGGAAGAGTATTCTGTTTGATTTTGATTTATTACCTCTGGAACTGGGGTTTTATATTTAAAGGTTGAAGTATTTTCTATGGGAAAATTTATTTCAGTAGATTCATAATTTGAATGTCTAGCTGGTAACCATGAATAACTTGAACTAGGTCTTTCTCTTAATGAAGCGAATCTTATTAAAGTATTTCCATCAGGTTTTTCTATAATATCTTCTGCAGTAGTTTGTTCTATATTTCTTGCTATTTGTGGATTTTTTATTTCAAATTCACTTGGTATTGTTATTTCATTCCATTTTAATCTTTTTGGTGTATAAGTTGTAGGTCTATCTGCATCTACTTGTAATAAAGTTATTTCTTCCTTAAGAGTTGGAGTCATTATAAATTTAGGATTTAAATGTGATGATAAAGGTCTATAATATATTCTATATATTATTGCAAAATTCTTTGTGTGTTTTTCAAATTCATTTCCTTGTAGATGAATATCTAATATGACAGAATTCAAAATATGTGGGTCAGTTAGGTCTATTGAAAAATTTGGAGCACAGTTAAAATATATGGGTCCATTACAAACATTTGTTTGAATCATAGAGAGTAAAGAAGTTTTATACCGTTTGAGTCTTGTGTCTCTTAATGCTAAATATATTGGAGCATCTACTCCTAGATGGAATAAAGGTTTTACAGCAATTTGTATTAAACCTATATGAATGTAGCGATATCCTTTACTTAAATATTTTTGAATTGTACTATGATTTAATAATGGAATTGATTGATATTCTTCTTGAATAGATATTGTTTCTTCATGTGTTTTAACTGATAAAGCTGTTTTGAAATCTAAAGGGCCTATTCTATAAATATGTTCTATTTTTTCTTCTGGAATAGTCCAATCTGAATTATTTATAGGCATATGATATTCATGACTTTGTACTATATTAGCTTGCTTTGAATTAGATCCTATTTTAAATTGTCTAAAAAATGCAGCCATGTTTTATTTTTTTAAAATTTTTACTTAACCTGGAACAACCGAGCACTATGCCTGGAACATCCTAACCTGGACTTACCAACGGGCTTACAAGGCATCAAGTCTTACCAACGATTTCAGTAAAATTTAATAAATAAACATAAATGCATAAATTAGCCAATTTGAAATAGAAACGTAATTCAAATAAAGTAATAAATTCAAAGTCTAAATATGCAGTCGTAATGTGGCTCTGATACCACTTCTACCCAGGCTGCTGTCTATTGATGATTGCATAGAAAAGTAATAAGATTTAATGTAAATGAACTTACAAGAATATTGAGTAGACAACGGAAGCTTGTATTGTAAAAACCTTGAATCTTCTTTATTGAATATAAAAGATGCTTGAATACAAAAGAGTGGTTGAACTTGAAAAGAGATTGGTTGAATTACAGAATAAGGAGAGTTTTCACTGATCTAGTCTCGTAGTATTCGCCGATGCCTTTCTTCTGAATTTTGATTCTATTTATAGAGGCTCGGGACTTCTCATTTCATCTTCATTTGAATTTCATTTGTCTTTTGAGTCGATACTTTATTTGTGGCCGACATCTTTTTCAAAAGTCATTTGGATCTTGTCCGCATGGTCCTCCGAAAGGATCGAAAGTAGATTCGGATGATTCTGCTGACTCGTCAATTTTGTTGGTTTCTTCTTTTTTATCCTGCTTTTGCAAATAGTCCAAATATTCTTTGAGTAGTCTTGGATCTTGAATCATCTTTTTCATCAGAAAATCATTTGAACTTGCCTCGGATACCATCTCGGTATCTTTTTCTTTTTCTTTCTTTATTGGAGTAGTTGTTGGGGTAGGTGCCATAGTGGTTGGAGTAGGTGGAGAAGTTGTTGTAATAGGTACCGTAGTGGTTGGAGTAGGTAGCTGTTTTGTCCACTTGAGTTTGTCCCCTGTTGTTAGGAATCTGATGACGTTTACTTGATCTCCAAATTCCTGATTGAATCTTGTCCACCATTTAATTTTGAATTCTCTGACCAATGACATTGGAAGTGATTTTTCTAATTCTTGATGGATCTTAAAACTCCAGCAAAAGATCCATGGAACTTTGAACTCCATATGAAATAAAATTGGCCTTGTATATTCTTCCCCCTTTGCTCTTTTTAGGTATGTCTGAAATCCCATAAGCACATTTGGAGGTAGAATTTCTGGTTGTGGTCCAAACCATTTCCACCAATGATTGAACCAAATTGGAAATTCTCTACTGCAACTTTCTTTGAATGTGAAGAACCAGGAATGATTGAATGGTCTAAAAAGGAAAGCACGATACCATGCCATTTTGTAATCTTGATATGTAAATCCATCTGGAATAAATCTTACTGAAAAGGATTTTTTAGAATAAAGAGAAGTCCATTCATTGGGAGAACAAACTTTCTTTATTATACATTTTGAATGGCTGACTATATTTGGATTTTTTCTATCTGGAATAGAAAATATTTCAACAGATTGAGTATCTGTAAGAATTAATTCATAGTAATCCAAATTTTTTGAGGAATCATCTGGTTGCCAATAGCATTTTTTAGGAAAGATTCTTTGGGTAATTTGATTGAGGGTAGAGTATAAATGTACTTCTTGAAATCTGGTTAGAGTAATATGTTGAGTAAATGGCTTGGTGAAATAGATATTTTCATTGGATTTTTCTGAAGGTTTTGAAATTTGTTGAAGAGGTTTTATTTGAGAAGAAGTGGGAGTGTAGGCAGCTTGACTATATGTCAAGGCTGGGAAATCCTGCAATATTTGGAATCTATTTTGGGTTACAGGAGTTAGACTCATCTCATAATCTTGAGGAGTCTTTGGCCTGGAATTCCCTGCTTTTGAATCCATATTTCTGCAATATTAATAAACAATATCTTTAAGCTGGTCAGATAATTGCTTATTTTGTTCTTTGTAGTACTGAATAAATTCTTCATTTCTTTCAACTCTTCTCAGGACTTGAATTCGGATAGTATTTCGCTGAATCTCTCTTTGAATAATAAAAGCTCTTTCTTGTGGAGTAATGGTAGCATAAGGGCTTTTTTGAATATATATGGTGTGAGGACTCGCAAAATTTACTTATTTAATCTCCTATTTCTAGCTTATTTAATTATTTATTTGGCCTTTTACCCCGAATATTATTTTCTAAGCTCTTAAGACCTAATTACATGAAAATATAGTTTCATTATATTTTTAAAGTGACTTGTTTCAAAAATTAATTTTCGAAAGCTCGTTTAGTGAAAATAGTTAACACGTTTTTGGAAATCTTGACCGATTGAGAGTACAATAAGTTTGGAATATTGGAGACATGTACAATGGACCTAAATTAGGTATTTTAATGTTTAAATACTCAAGTGATAGTTATTAGTACTATCGTTATAAGAATTTCTCGGAAGTTTCGCGTTATTGCGCTTAAATTGGAGATACGCGTTTTCACACGCGCGATTTAAATTGAGGAACGTTAGACCCTTATTTTGGGACAATTGAGAGTGAATAATATTTATATGAATATAAGTGCATTAGAGGTTTAGTGCACTAGTGAAACAAACTCGAGAGGAATCGAGCACGAAACGCGGGAAAAAGAGTTGACCTTTGAATCAATGAGAGCCACACATTTTAGTTTCACATGGGAGCATCACACTAGATTAAAACCCTCCATATACTTACCTCAATTGCTGCCTCTTTTGCTTCCATTCCAGCCGTGCAACATCAAGATAGAAAAGGATCAAGTTTACTTCACCAAATCCTACTCAATCTTCATCCGATTCACACCAAACTTAAACCACCCTTAGCTTAACACTTGAGGAGTATTTTGAGCTGCAAAAGAGAGCTGAAAAGCCACGGTTTTCTGGAGCAAAGAGTGGCCAAAATTTCTGCCTTCATCATCTAATCAAGTAGGTGTTAATCCAACACTTAAATCTTGCTTTATGAAGATCATCTTACATGTATAAGGTAGTATTTGCATTTGGGTAGCTTGTTTATGGTGTAAAATGAAATGGGTGGGCTCTATGAACTCCCACCTTTGTCTTGAGGACTGATCTCATGCTTGATGATGGATTTAATGGTGGTTTAGTGCTTAAATTAGTGGATTAATGTTGTATTGTTGGTAGAAAATCATAGGAGGTGCTTGGAGCAAAAGTGACCGTTTTACCCCTGCCTTGTCCGACCATTTTTGTGCACAATTTTGAGGTTCTAATGACTTGATTATATTGTTTACATGTTATTGTGAGTGTGTACAAAATTTCATTGAAAAATAACATGATTTGGTTGGTTAAATGAGTTGATTTCCAAAGTTAGCAAAACTGGAAAATGAATCCCGTATTGCCCAGGCAGTCATCTTGTATCGGCTATAACTCTTTGCTCCGATGTCGAAATCAAGTGCCGTTTGTGGCATTGGAAACTAGACATTCCCAGCTTTCCATTGGTACCAATTTCACATTATGGTTCCACTTGAGGGAGCCACACCATTCGATTGAAAATCACTGTCCTGTTTCGTTTCTCTCCAGGAGACAGGACAGGACTTGTATCTTGATGCTCAAAAACGAGCTGTTTGTGAATGTAATTTGAAAATGGTTTCTTCTGAGAAAATTCAGCTTTATGAGAGAGCTTTCCAACGCCATCAACCACGCCCAATTCCAAGTTGAATTGAGTGAGTTGTGGCCAAAGTTTGAAACAGCTACAGTGATAGAATTTTCCACTTGGACAGATTTGTAACTAACAATGATTTGGGACTTGTTATTTCGAAATTCTTGATGTAAATCACCTATCAAATGTATTTTGAATTCTTACTAGACCTGATTATCATAAACGAGACATGTTTTAGGTATCTTCCCTTGGTCAAAAGTTTAGAAAAGGAAATTTTCATACACGAGGCAGCTTTGCCTTAAAAATTTGGAAACTTGAGTGATTTTGTTAAGTGACTTTCCTTGCATATTTTCTATGAAATTTGACAGAGGAATAGCCCTTATATGGTAGTATAATCATACCAAATTTGGTGCCATTCCGAGTCTGTTTAGATGTTCAAACAAAGTCCCAAAGTTCATGTTTAAATCTGGAAATTCTTGATCGAGGAGGAATTTTTAGCCAACTTTGAGCTGCTATATTTTGGCGCTCAAAACTTCAATTCTTGTACCGTTTGTTTCGTTTTAAACTTTGATTGTAGCTCTAATTGAGTTCTAAATTTTGGAGGTTAGTTCGTATTGTGTGAATTTTGCCGGATTTTCAAAGATGGTCAAAAACCAACCCCGAAACTGTCTAAATGGTCCCAAGCAGCAACTTCGAGTCAATTTTTGAATACCTTCTGTTTGGAATCATGGAAAAGTATCTTCTAGGAACTTTTAGCGCTTTTGAAGAAGTTTCCAACAGTATCAAGCTTTCCAATTTTGGACCTACATAGTGCAAGATACGATTTTTCTAAAATTGACACCCAAAGCTGAAATTTGTCAATTTCTTAGAAAATGAGATTTTGGAAACTTGCCTTCTTTTCTCGATACCGATTAAACATTTTGAACTCGATTTCATGGAAAATATTAGTCTCTCTCTTTAGACTTTAAAACTTTACTCTTGAGCCTCGATTATTAATAATTAAGGCCCAATTCATGAATTCCCTTTAGATTGTACAACCTTCTTTGATAAGTAGGAGTTCTAAGTGATAGTGTATAATAGTTGATGGTTAATTGCTCAGGCGCTCAAGAAGACCTTCAAGAGAAACTCGAAGTGGACGCCCAAACGCTTGTTTGAGAACTACTCGCTTGTTTTGACTAGGTGAGTGTTCCATATAGGAATACATAATTGAATAAGTCTAGGACATGTTTATTTCATGATTATTAAGTGTTAAGTGCTATGTGTTAAGTATTTACCATACTCATGCCTATTTAAGGAATGTATACTTGCATTGTATATCTACATGAATTGGTTAAATGATTAACCATATCAAATGACCATATGAACTCGATACATGCTTAACTTGCTAGATTGCTTGCTTAGCCTACTCGGTTTTTAAAAAAAAAATGGAGTCGAGTGTGTACTTTATCGCACTCGTTCTCTTTTGAGATGAATAACTCATGCTTGGAAATGATCGAATAACATGACTTAGTATGCTAAGGTTGCATACGTCGTTGGAGTGAATCTCCTCGACTCTCACATGCTAAAAATGGGATAACGGCCAATGATGGCCTATTCATATGACAAATGCCTGTCAATTAACCGTCACTACTTAACCGTTAACCGTTAACCGTGAACCGTCAACCGTTAACAGTGAACCGTTTACCAACCGACATTACTACTTGATTACTTGATTATCATGAATCACATGTTACATGAAGCTGTCCATTATTGTTAGGCGAGTGTGTACTTTATCTCACTCGACCTACCCAAATGATGAATTTTACCTTTTGTCGAATTACTTGGTTACCTGTGCATGTTGTAAGCTTTAAGCTGAACTGGGCCCTGCTCATGGTTACTAACCTACTCGAGCCAGGACTGGGCTCGGTCGGGTAGGTTGGAACCTTGGGACACCGTTTCGGTATACTCGAGTATTACCACTGGAGGGATAAGGTGATGGCCAGTCAAACCGAGGGGACCCGGAAGTCATAAGGTGCAGATGACCGACAGAGTTCCACTGGAACACCGTATCCTACAGTATATGTTTACCTTGTATCATGATAATTGTTTCATGCTAAAATGTCAACATGAAATCCTGAGGCATGCCTGCGGTATGCTCCATATCTGTTACCTGTTCAATGTACTCATATCATGGTACCGGTTTCATGTTAATGCTCCCTACCTGTAATATGCTGAATTACTCGCACCGGTAATAAGCTCCAATTACTCGTGAACTATACATGCCAATGTCTTGAACCATGATAACTGTCTCATGATAAATGTCTTATACCATGATACATGTCTCAAATTACCCGTACAGTGATCATCACCTCATGATAACATGCCATTGTGTAACCTTGAACCATGCATATGATATGCCCAACTTACTTGATTTATTTGAATTGTTAGAGTGTCTTGGAACCTCACTGGGCTGTGTAGCTCATCCCACGTTGTGGTTTTCTTTTACAGGGTTCGAGACCAAGGGTGTTCGTGAGTAGTACTAGATTGTTTTCTTTTGAAGATTTTAAGTTATATTATAACGGATGGCTATTGTACCCTTTTCCGTTGAGTTGTATTTAAGCTTGAAAGCTACATAATTGTAAGTGTGAGATATTTGAAGTTACTTAAAGTATTTCGAGCTTTTGAATGATGGATTGTAGTGAGTCCTGGCGAGAGTTGGGCAGACGTCCCGCGGATACCCTTTGGTTCGCCTTAGGGAGAAGTGGGGCGTCACATATGGTATCATGTTTAGGAATTTGATAGGCTGGAATACTTTGCCTACCATGGCTAGTTTGAACAAAATATTGATATCCTCGGGATTGGATAGCCTTTTCTTTGTTTTGAAGTTTGGGAGAATCTCTCTGAGCTCTCAAATAATTGGTATATTCTCGATCTGTTCTTTGAACCATCAATTCACGATCCATGTCCTTGTAAAAATTCTCTAGTAAGAAAATCTGGTAATGAATTATTTTCTCCTTTAATGAATTCTATATCAAAATCAAAAACAGATAAAATAGCTTGCCATCTAGCAAATATTTGTTTTGAAACTATATTTTGAACATCTTTTTGTAAAATCTCTTTTGCAGATTTACAGTCTATTCTTATTAAAAATTTCTTGTTATATAAATCATCTTGAAATTTTGATATACATAAAACTATTGATAAAATTTCTTTTTTAATAGTTGAATAATTCTTTTGAGGATCAGACCAGGTTCCTGAATGAAATCTAACTAACTCTTCTTTTGACTCTTCTAATTTTTGTTTTAGTGTTCCTCCATATCCTAATTCTGATGCATCTGTTTCAACTATCATGAATGCTTTAGGATGTGGTAAACATAAACACGGCAAGGATTTAACTTTTTCTTTTAAATATTTTATTTTTTGAGTATGTTCTTCTGTCCATGGCTTTGGATTTTTCTTTAATCTATTAAATAATATAGAGCATTCTTGTCTTAATTTAGGAAAGAAATCTGCTATATAATTTAAGCATCCTAAAAATCTTTGTAACTGATTTTTATCTTTTATTTCATCTGGAAATTTAGTAGTGAATTCTAAAGCTCTATTGATTGGTTTTATTGTTCCTTGGTATATGTCATGTCTTAAAAATCTTATTTTTGTTTGGAATAATTTCATTTTTGGTGCAGAAACCACTAATCCGTTTTTCCTGACTATTTTTAAAAATATATTTAAATGTTTAAAATGCTGTTCTAATGATTCAGAAAATATTAATACATCATCAATATATACTATACTAAATGAACTGTAAGGATTGAAAATGTCATTCATTATATTTTGAAATTCTGATGGTGCATTTTTTAATCCAAATGGCATTACATTCCACTCATAATGTCCAAAGGGTGTTGTGAATGTTATTTTGTATCTATCTTTTGGATTTATTAATATTTGCCAATATCCTGATTTTAAATCAAATTTTGAAAATATCTTTGCTTTAAATAGTCTATTAAGCAAATCTTTTTTATTGGGAATTGGATATCTAATCCATTGCAATACTTTATTTAATGGTTTATAATTTATTACTAATCTTGGAACTCCTCGTTCTTTTTCTGCTTGATTCATAACATAAAATGCAGCACAACTCCATGGTGATTTTGAGGGGGTTATTAGTTTTTTATCTATTAATATTTTTATCTCTTTTTTACAAAATTCTAATAAATCAGAATTCATTTGTATTGGTCTAGCTTTAGTTGGAATATTCTTTTCATTAAAATCTTTTTCATAAGGTAATTCTATCATATGTTGTTTTCTATCCCAAAAAGCATTAGGAATATCTGCAGAAATTTCTTTTTGTAATAACTCTTCTAGTTCTGATATTCTTTTTTGTATTTTAATATCTTTTAATTGTTCTTCAATTTTTAAATGAGACTTTTCTTCTTTAATATAGCTTATATGTTGTTGTACTTTGGTAATAGCATTTATTGTTTTATAAATAGAAGATGTTTGTAAAGTCTGTAATTCTCTCTGTTTTATTGGAGTTAAGAACTTAAAAGTAATAATTTTTCCCATTATATTTATCGAAATTCCTTCATTACTTACTAAAAATGGATAAATCTGTATTAAAAAAGGTGTTCCTAATATTATATCATGATTTATATTTTTTACAATTTTGAAATTATGTTTAATACAATATTCATTGTTACATATTGATCCTTTTGTAAATTTATATTTTACTTGTAAATTTTCTCCATTTGCTGCCATCAATGTTTCATTTGTCCTTTCACAATATTTAGTAGGAATTATTCCTTCTTTAATGCAACTTGCATCAGCTCCACTATCTATTAGAGCTACAAAGGTTTCTTTGAAATCTTCTACTGTAATTGTTACTAAAGCAAACCATTTTTGAAATGTCATTTTTTCTATAGTATTTAAATATTGATCATCGTCTACTGGTTTTTCTGATATGGATATTTCTTCTGTTTTAGAATTAGAAGTTGAGGGCTGATTATTTATTAAAGTTATTTTTGCTTCTATTTCTAAATCTTTTGTTTTTAATTCTATAATTTCTTGTTGTAATTGTTTTACTTGTATTTTTAGATTATTAATTTCTGATTGAAGATCTTTTGTAGTTTCTTTCTTCATTATATTTATATTTGGATATTTATCTATTAATTTCGAAATACTAAAAGGTTCTATTATTTTTGGCATTTTATCTTCTTGAATGATTAAACTTTTTAATCTTTCTAAATATTCCTTTTTAGCTATTGGATCTTCTATTTTTTCTATTATATCTAATAAAAATTCTTTATCTTCTTTTTTAGTTATAACATTTATATATTTTGGAGTATTAGAACAATTACAATCTTTTTCACTTTCTGAACTAGTTAAGTCATTATAAAAATCATCTTCTGAACTTTGATCTTTTTCATTTATTAATAAGTTTATTAATTTATTTGTAATTTCTTCTTCATCTGCACATATCTCTGTAATTTTTTCTTTTAATTTACATTTGTTTGCTTTATGACCTATTTTTCCACATTTGTAACAAACAATTTTTCTTTTAATAAACTTTCTCTTTCTTTCTGGTTTATCTTCTTTAGGTCTTTTATATTTTAATTTTTTATTATATTTTTTAACTTTCTTTTTGTATGCTGATGGTGATTTAATTCTTTTGATTCCAAATGCATCACAAAATGATCCTACTTCCTTGGTTTTAGAACCATATTTTATTTGTAATCTTAATTCTGAACATAACATTAATCCTTCTTTTTTCACAAAAGCAAATAATTGTCCAAAAGTAATATTTTCAAATGAAATTACATCTGTTCCCATTTCCTTTTGTAAACTATCCATTATTCTTTGTGAAAATAAACTTGGTAATCCTGTTATGAATCTTTCTTTCCAGAATGAAGCATTACAATCTGGTCTTCTTAATACATTTGTTAAAAACATATCTTTATACCATCTAAAGTCTGATAATGTAGGACATCTTAAATTTGTTAAAAATGTTTTATTAGAATTTAATTCTTCTTTTGGATTTCCTATGAAATACATTACTATTGTTACTATTAAGAATTCTGCAGCATCTGATTGTATCTGAATATTTTCTTGGTCATCTTCAATTTCTTGGGTATGTTCTAATATTGATAATTTATCTTGTAATGTTAGAGTATTATCCCACCAATTTTTTAATTGTCCAGTGAATCCTGAAACTAATAATGTTGCAATATTTCTCTCTTGAATATTTTTAATTTTATAAGCAAGTCTAGCCATTCCCATTTCTTGCAAATTATTTAATACTTCATATTCAGCTTTACCATCTATATTCCATTCATAAATTGAATCTCCATCATATTTAGTGGTACGAAATTTTGATCTTTCTTCATATTGAATATCTGGAGGGCTAGGTCTTGGATAATAATTTTTTGTACTTACCATTTTCCAATTTTTATTGGTATTATCATTTATCCTTCTTCTTCTTATTCTATTTAATTGATTTTCTCCTTCTTCTTCAAATTGAGTTTCTATAGGTAATATTATATTTTCTTCTAGATCTGAATTTGTTGATTCTTCAATTGAATTTTCGAATTGCTCAGTTGAATTATCTCTTATAATTTGATCTAAAGCATTTATTTTGGGTGTTGAAGGTTTTACTTCTGTTAAGTTTTGTAATGCTTGAGATATTTTATTTAATATATTATCTGTAGTATTTATTTTTTGATTATTAATATTTTGTACTAAATCTTGTTCCTTTTCTTTGGTCAAACTTCTAGGTTGAAAATGCGGTGCTGAAATATCATTTGGGAACTTTAAATCTGGTTTCTTTAATGTATCTATTTTTGTATTTAATATTTCCATATGTTGAGAAATTGTATGAAGAATTTGATTTGTATAATTATTTTGTTGGTATACTTTTTTAATATCTTCTAAATTTATTGTATTAGATGTACTTGATTCAGCTTCCCTTCCCTTTTTAAAAGGTGAGGCTATTATTTCTCCTTTTCCTATATTTATTTTTACTTCTTGTAATGGAGGGTGTATGGATGTTATAATTTGATCGTCTTTTAACTTCCATTTTTTATATAAATTAGTTTGAACATTTATTTGAGATGTATTATATATGTCATTTATTCCCAATTTTGACGTATAAAATGCTAACCATGTAAAGAAAGGAAAATCAAATTTCTGTTTATCTAATTCATTTTTCCATTCTATAATTAATTTGTTCTTGTATTCAGATTCTAATTGAAAAAACTAAATTCTTTTTTCCCTATTTTCTTCATCTTCAAAATCTTCTTGTAAACATTTATGATTTATTATATAAGGTTTTTTTATAAAATTTATTTCTCCTCTCATTTGTGAATGTGTGGGAGAGTATTCTGTTTGATTTTGATTTATTACCTCTGGAACTGGGGTTTTATATTTAAAGGTTGAAGTATTTTCTATGGGAAAATTTATTTCAGTAGATTCATAATTTGAATGTCTAGCTGGTAACCATGAATAACTTGAACTAGGTCTTTCTCTTAATGAAGCGAATCTTATTAAAGTATTTCCATCAGGTTTTTCTATAATATCTTCTGTAGTAGTTTGTTCTATATTTCTTGCTATTTGTGGATTTTTTATTTCAAATTCACTTGGTATTGTTATTTCATTCCATTTTAATAAAAGAAAAATTTACTTGTTTTGATCTAAATGTAAATTGACTTGAAAGTAAAATTGCATGTTAAAAGATAGATTAAAAGTAACATAATCGAGAAGGCCTTGATCTACTAGCTGAAATTGAGACTAGGGTTGCATTAGGTTTTAGGGTTATTAAGACCAATGGTCTCATGCAACAATTATTGTTTTCAACCCATATATCTAGTAGTTGGTTTTTTATTTTCCATGTTTTTAATGCTATATATGGCCGATTACATCAGCTATGTGTCTTTTTTTTTTAAGGATAATTTTAGGA